CAAGCAACTTCAGCCAGCAGGCTTCGTCGCCAGCGCTCGGTCTTCGGAGACATCGGCAGGCTGCGCCAGGCACGACTGCCTCGGCCCTCCAGCGCTCTCACACCCGACTCACTGGGGCCCCGCGCCTGGACTCGCCGGTGGTCGTGTTACGGTCCGACCCACTGGGCCTCTGGCGTAGCCACTGCCTCATGGCTACTACGACCGCGCTCGACGACTAGCCTTCACCAGCAACCGCCGCACTGCGATCGAGCAACCTCCATCACTTGCCGCACGGCAACCAAGCAACCAGCTGCCACGGTCGCACTGCGGCCACTCCACTCACCGCAACTAGCCTTTCTCCTTACCGGCGCGCGCCGCGCTACCTCACCGATCAATCATCTCAGCAACCACGGTCCTTTTCAGGGCCAACAAATTGTTCCGAAGAAGTGGGTTGTCATCAGAGTAATGACAAGACTACACACGTTGACAAGAGAGTGCCCCACACACCAAATGCTAAATTGATTTTTAAGTTGCAAAAGAGAGCTATTAGAGCTATGATGCAAATTCAGAAAACTACTAGTTGTAAACAGTATTTTAATTATTTAAATATATTTCCCTTACCATGCTTGTATATTTATGAAACTCTGGTAAACACAAAATCAAATTTGAATACTCTTGCAACCAATTCGGAAATACATTCATATAATACAAGGGGAAAAGATGACTTATATATTGTTTCATGTACTACCAGTTTATGCAAAGACAATTTTATTAATACTAGACTTCATATGTTCAATCATTTACCGTATTACATTAAGGAGACACCAGCTCTATACAGATTCAAGAATGCTTTGAAAAACTTCCTGTTTGATCATTGCTTTTACAGTGTAGACGAGTGTCTTACTTTTTTTAGAGAAGAGTTCTAGTTAGTCTAAATTATATATTCCAAAATTCCAAGAATCAATTAGCCTCATAGTATTGAATAATACAAGTCATGAGAACGCTTAGTGCTCAGTTCATTTATTATTTTTACAGCGTAGACCAGTATTTTATTTTTTTTAGAAAAGAGTTCTAGTCAGTCTAAGTTATATATTCCAAGAATCAATTAGCCTCATAGTGTTGAATAATAT